CTCTAGTTAAATTCATCTCACCATTAATATTTAGAACCTACAAAATCTTCATATTTGTGCAAAAATTTAATATCATGTGATATCACAATTTCAAATATTACAATTCTCTATGATTGTAGTATACAAAATAAATTAGATAGAAAAAACTGAATATTTTGTGCACAAAAAATCCTTATTTTCTTCATAAAGAATTCATCAAAAGAATTTTAAAAAACCCTTTTTTTTTTTTTCTATTTCTATCCCATTGCTCTTTCTTGGCAACTGTCATAAAAGAAAGACTAAAAATTTCTTTATATGTGTGTTGGCTAACGCAAGAAAACAAAATAAGAAAGAAAAACTTTTTCTCTTTTCACGCCACTTGCACAAACATTACAAGGAAATAATATATTTTACTCCTTCCTTTTCTCGTAATATTTTTTTTATTTAATTTTTTTATAGATTATACAAAGGTCACTCATGGGTTGAAACTATGACATACATACACCCAACATTTACTATTAATCTACATTATTATAAATTCCAACGTTTGTCAATTTTTTCACAAATTGTATTGCAGCATCCTCACCGTGCGATATATAAGACATTCTGACATTCTGATTTACCGGCTTTATTTATAAACTTATCTTAACTTGTCTTTATATAGTTTTATACTAGAAAAATTGTAAAATGGATAATTTTTTTGTCTTATGTTTTCATTTTTTAAATTATCCTTTTATTTTCAATTTATGTCCCTAATTATTACTTTATTAGAGTTCAAAGCATTTTTTCATGAATCAAAAATTTTAAAAATTACTTGTATTATAATTTTGAAAAATTATATAAAGTAAAAAAATTATTTGTATTATAATTTTAAAAACTTATATATTTTTTTAAAAAAATTTAAACATGTTTGGTTAATAAAACATTCAAATTTATTTATTTAAAAACAAAGTTAAAATATTTGATAAGAAATTGTAAAAGCAAATTATAAATTATTTAAATAATACAATTGCGTACCAAGAAGTTTTTCATTGAAAATTCACAAAGTAGAAAAGATGAAAGAAATTTTACGAGTTTACAAAACTTTTGGGAATTTCCTTAATATGATAGTAAAAACAAACACCAGGGTGTCTTTTGAAAAATTAGGTTTTCATAAACAATAAAACGATACCAGTAACGGGTCCATACCCGTTTATCTCGTGCAACTGGGGCCCATGCGTCTGGGCTGCCGTGCAAGCTTGGCATATATATATATTGTTTTTTTTTTTTTCCTGAAAAATGGAGATGGCATTCATATTTCATAAACTCCACTAAATATTCTCACCTCAAATCACAAATCGCAAAGCATTTAGAAACAGGTACAAGTAGTTTAGAGAAATAAATTTCAATTTCATTAGTTTTCCATCTAAAACTCCATATCAGCATATTTCTTGTTGAAAATGAATGATATTACTTGAAAAAAAATACTAAAAACAAAATATCAAAATAACTTTATTAGAATTTTTTTTTTTTTTTACCTTGTGTTTGGATAGGGAGGAAAGTAGAGGAGAGGAAAGAAAATAGGGAGGAAAGAAAATTTTTCTTCGTTTGGTTTGTGGAGGAAAGCGAGTGGAAAGAAACAAAAAATATTAACAAACCTATAAATGATGAGACCTATTTTTCTTTCAAAATTCGGAGGAAACCGGGAGAAGAAAGTGAGAAATCATCAAAAAAAAATTACCATCTCATTTTTACCCTCCATCCGCCTCATCGTCCTTCTCCTTTTCTCACTCTTTGCAAGTACAAAGACAAAGAACCTCGATAATCTTAAGTCGTCGCTCACAACCCCAAACACCATCGCCCCCTCCTCCTATCTTCCATTTTCCCTTTCTTCCAAAGATTGGAATTCAATCCACGAAAACTATCGCCTCCTCCTCCACCAACCACCATCTCCTTTCTCTAGTCCTCCTCCTTTTGCATCTCCCTTTCGAAGGTGAGAATTGAAATCAAGATGGCCTCTATAAATACCATTCCAAAATCAATTCTTTAAAGCATTTATTTGTTGGAAATCTAGTCATGAATTTGCTTTTTCATGCAATACCATACCTCCATTTCCTCAATTTCTTGACTTGATATGCGAGTGTCAAGTAAGTTTCTCTTTTTCTTTATACTCGATTTTTATTTGTGATGGATTTTTTCAATTGGTTTTTTTTTTAAGTTAAATCTTTTTTCCGGTAATATTGAAGTTAAATCTTTTTTGTGTTTAGTTACTATTTTTTTATTTTTTTTGGGTATAGGAAGAATTAAAGAATACTACTATTAGAATGGTCGAGCGGAGCAAGGTTTAGAACACTCCTAGAGTAGAGAAATAAACCAAAAGAGAGTTATTTGATGCACTTCGACAGGAACTTGAGTAGGTCTTCCATTACCTTTTCCTCCTTCCTCCTTGAGTCTTTGAACCGCATTTGCTTGTTGTTTTGATAGGTTTGTGAGTTTAGGCTAATTGGAACTTGTGTATAGATTTTGGCAAACAAATCTGATTGTTGTTGAAGTATTTGTTGACAATTTTGAGTTTTTCAACAAGATATATAAAATTTTGTGATATCAGTTCGATGGTTTTTTATAAAGAGTTTGAATCATAATGACTTCGTAAGTCGGTCACAATTTGTATTAATTTAGGTTTTTGCAATATTGACATAATTTTAAGCTCGTAAAGCACACGAGTGGATAAAACCTAGAAATACATGAGTTAATAGAGGTTAATTGTTTATTCAACTTAATTCCCTCTTCTAAATGCCTTTGACAAGCTGCTGAGTTGAGTAGCCTACATGATTTGTTATACTCTAATCTAATAATTTTTTTTTCATGAAACCTAGAAATACATGAGTTAAAGGAAATGACAACAAGGGAAGGGAAGAAAAAAAGAGGAAAGTGAATGTCAAAAGGAAAAATCAAGCTCAAATTCTAAAAAGAGGAGTCATAGTCGGATGGTTATAGAGGCGACGAACAAACGAAGTCGCAAACTAGAAGTGAATTTTTGTTACACAAACATCGTTGTTAATATGTTTCATATACCGAATGTTAACATTTTTTTTGGGTTTTTACTCGAGGAAGTAATGGAAGAATTGTGCATAATGTACCTATTGTTGTCTATTTTCATTTTTTTTATTACAAGTTTCAAATTTAAATGGTAGGTTTCAAATGGTCGGTTGTAGCCTCAAAATTTAGTTAGAGGCTATTTGGCATCTTTTGATTTTTTCCATTTTTCCATTTCCCGAGTTTCATATTTCTTAGTAAGAAATTACGATATTAAAATATATAATAATAAAAAAATTAGTCTTGATGGGTCGTGCAATTGGAGTTAAAAAATCTCTCTAATTTATTTAAATATTTTCCCTCCCTTTCTCATTTAATCTATACACTTATAATGGAATTTTTGGTATTGTGAAGTTGTATCGTACAACATTTTGGTTCTTTAGTCGGGAATTTTATCAAGTTTATTTGTTAACTAGTGATCATTGTTTTGCTCTATAGCTTAAGCTTATGCATTTTCCCGGATGATGATTTGTTTCTCCTGCTAGCGATTTTGTAACATGATTTAGCCCTAAAACTCGTTACTAACAAAACAGAACTAACACTTACCAAAAGTCTCCAAAACACCATAAAAAATAACCCCAAAACTAACCCCAAAACAGAACCTAACACCTACCAAAAGTCTTCAAAACCAACTCGAAACTATTACCAACAGACTCTCCAAAACCTATTACAAAGCAACCCATTTGGACATGCCATTTGAACCACCAAATAAGCTCCAAAAATACCTCCACACTAGTTTCAAAATCACCCAAAAAACCCCACCAAAACAGACATAAAACATCCCTCAAAATAGCCTCTTGAACACTTATTGGAGTTACTGCAAAAGAAGAAATAAAAATTATTATTAAAAAAAAGGCTAAACATATTTTCGTGTGTTGGATTGTTGGAAGCCACAATATGATGTTGTAGGTTACATTTGATTGAGTCTTTTTGACAAAAAAAAATAAGCAACAAAAGCTACCTTGAGCTTCCGGGAACCCCGCAAATTTTACGATAAATTTGGAGTGTTCACCCGAGTAACGGAGTTATGCCTATCTATCTAAATATGCAATTTGTCTCATTTTTTTGTGATTCAATTGACTTTCCATGATTGTTCACAATGCTACAATAAACTTTTTTTTTAATTGCTAAATAATAATTTTTTAATTAAAAAAGCTGAGAAAATGATAGATAAAAGCAACTAACTTATTATATGCATAAATAATAATATATGTTATACATATTTAAATTAATTTTATGTTGATAATTAATCTAAATTGGCTATTGAATTAATTAATTAGTAAATAGTTATCAATTATTCTATGGAGACGATTTATTATCCATCTTATCATTTCGGATAGATGCTATATGCTAGATTTTTATTTTATTATCATTTGTGCTATTTTCATGAAAAAAATATTCATACAAATTTATTATAAGTATTTAAATATAGAAATATAATCATAGGGGTATTATAGTAAATATATAATAATATATTTTATTATTATTTTTTTTTTACAATTATCCAAACAAGAAAAATATACTTTTTTTTTTTTATTTCTACTCTTATCTAAATAATAAATGAAAAATACTTTTCTTTCCTCTCTTTTCTTTTCTCATAAGAAGAAATATCCAAACAAGGGGTTAATTACCGTTTCAAGAAAGTTGTTTTTTTCAAAAACGATACATTCTGTTTGATGCAACGACGTCGCCTAGGAGAATAGCCCTTATAAAAAAGGGGAGAGTCAAATGTAAGAGAAACTAAAATGGCAACTACGGATGCAATTGAAAAACCATGCCTTTCTTCTCCATCCCCTTCTTCTAATTTCAGGCACCTTACCTTCTTTTTCCTCATTTCTTCATCTTTTTATCTTTTACATAACAATTTCCATTCACTAACAAATCATCAATTTCGTTTCAGCCAACCAAGTCACTTCTATATTGTTGTTGACAGGCTCCACTTCAAAATGGTTTCTCTCTCTCTCTCTCTCATTCTCTCCAATTTTCTTTTCATTAATTCAAATCCAAATTGACTTGCTCAAAATCCACAGGAGACATTGGTGGATTTATTAGGAGTTGCAGGTCGCCGCCATGGCTTACCGATGGTGGTTTGTTGTAGTTCTCGCGACGAACTCGACGCCGTCTGTTCCGCTGTCTCCAACCTCCCGTGCATTTCTCTTGCCTATCTGGTATGCAAAAGTGAATAAATTGCTAATTTATGATTTATTTATTTATTTTGTAATTGAGGTATAAATTATTGAAATTATTTATTGTTGTATACTTTTGACAGTACAGTGACCTAGCTGAATCGGACCGAAACGTAGTTTTAGAGGAATTTAGGAAAGCAACAGTAAGGTGGAGCCAAAATGTAAATGCTGCTCAATTAGGAGATGGCAGTGGCGGCGTTTGTAGCGGTGTTGAAATCGGAAATAATGATGAGAATAATAATAATAATAATCATACTAAATCACATATGATAGTTGTAACAGATGCCTGTCTTCCTCTTCTTGCGTTGGGCGAGGCTCCTGTTTCCGCTCGTGTTCTAATTAATTATGAATTACCATCAAAGGTGTTGTTTAGCTGTTCCCCTTTTACTCATTCATTTATTTATTTATATACGAATTTAGGACTTAAAAATGAGCTCTAATTGATTGTGTGTGGATTTCATGCAATTGTGTGAGGTTATATTTCAAGCATTATTAACTTCCTGGGCCAAATTTGTGTTCATTTTGTACAATTTAATTTTGAATTTGGCAACATTTTTAAGCCTTAAAATAGGGTTTAAGGTTTCTTTCCAAAAGATTGAAAAACTATAAACTAGCATTTAAAGAAAATAGTAAGATTCCAATTATTGGACTCTATTTTATGCGATCAGGAGTTCAAATCTATGATGGAGTTCTGATTATCTTTTAAGCGAAAGTCGATTATCATTATGGTACATGTGAAGTTTGCTTTCTGTTTTGTTTCCTCACCCTCAGAACTCTTAACAAAAGTTTGCGTATTGACTGGCATGAACAGAAATCACAGTTTTCTTTAATCTTTCTAAGAACCTAATTTTGATCCATGATAATGTAAGTACTTTAATAAACTTCTCTATTATACCTGTCCCCAACTTTTGGTTTGAGTTCTCTTTCTATCTCTTTTTGGGGAGGGGTGGGTTAGAAATGGTGGGCTGAGCCCAACTCTGTGACCAATAGATCCTAGCAATTATTGATCAAAGCAATTTGCAAGTCCTAGAAGAGGAATCAGATGTGCAGAGTGCTAATAAGAAGTAGCTGTACATGCCTCTAGTGGCGTAAAACAATTCGGGATTTCATATTCTAGTATTAGTTTTATGCGTCTCAAATATGTTTCCTGCATGCACGTTCTTTATAATTGACAAATAACCAAGAGATTCATATAGAGTTTCTGGTCACTTTTTTTGTTTGCTTGCAGGAAACATATTTGAGACGCATGAACACTTGCTTGGCTGCAGGTTATTTCCCAAACTTATAGCACCTTGTTGTTCATGGTTTTTTTCGCATTCCTTGACAAGTGTGCAAAAACACGTGCAGATGGGATTGTAATCAATTTAGTTGTTGGTGGTGAAGTGGTAACTCTTAAAAGCGTTGAAGAAAGCAGCAGCCTTGTCATAGCTGAAATGCCCATAAATGTGAGTTTGTTGCGTGTTATCTGTTCTCCTATTAATGAGTTTGAAAATATATCAGGGTAGCAAATGACTTTTAACAAGTAACTTGAAGGTCTAACTGCATGAAGCAAGGAGTGGAGCCTTCTTTTTCAGCAAATAGTAAAACAGTAAAGATGAACAAAGTTTATTTAAATTGACCTGCCTTTTGTATTAAGCCATTTTTTTTTTTTTCATGGAACACCTTTTGTGATTGGGATTAAGCTATTTTTCTTCTTCTCTGAACTCTGAACTACTGAGCTGCTGACACCTTTACTCCTTGGTATGTAATTAACTTGAATATGGCATGTTGCAGATATCTGAGATTTTATGAAGATTGTCGATTTCTGCAGTGCTAAGAGAATAAAATAGGACTTGATCTCTTCCAACAGTTGAAGTTCTGATATATGAATCAGATGATCTGTGAGTAGTGCAACAATATTGAAGTTTTATAACCCTATGTTTGCATATTTTCTTGATATTATATTTATATGTAAGCTTATTCTTTTTAACCTATAGCGCTATCATAATCAATTGGCAGGCGAAAGAGAGGAATGAAATGAAAAATTGATTAAAAAGATGCTTCTTTGTTTTGAAGACATAGAACTCTAAATTCAACAAAATTGTTGTCAAAGGAAAGTTATTTTGGTTGGTCTTTCACGCAACTAGTCGTAAGAACTCTGCTATTTAAGCTTTCACGTGACCCCCAGATTCCCTTGGGGGATTTGGTTTCTAAATTGGTTGAAGATTCTGCTTTGGTTTGCTCTTGGCTTCTTCAACAAAGTTATTATTTCAACTATCAACTAGTTGATTGCTCGCACGACGTTGTGAGTCGAGCATAACAAAATCATTTGAAAATGTTATAATTATAGATTTTTTTATTTAATTGTAGTTTTTTATTTTTTTCCATAAATTTTCTACTTTTAAAAATTTGATTTATTCCTCTTTATGCATATGTTATGAAATGAAAATTTGTAGTGATTTAAATTAAAATACTAATCAAGAATTAAAAAATGCTTAATATATATATATATTACAATTAATGTATAGATTTATATAAAAATTAATTAATAAAAAATAAAATTTTTACTCTTATTTAATGCTAAAAAGGTGATTATTTTTTTGAAAGTATATGCATTTGATCTATATATATTTATTTACAAAATAATTAACAATTTTAGTATAAAAAATTGTATTTGAATAATTAAGTAGTTTTTTTGTTAAATATATTTTTATTTCTAATAAATTAATTTTATAATGTTTTAAAAAAATATCTTTAGCAAATAGTTAGTGTTGTATGTGAAGATGTATAATTAATTTTTTAATAAAATTGATAATTTAATATTTTTTTATATGTTTCGACCATACTTAGTGGACTAAGACAAATGATTTGAAATGTTTTTTTTTAACATTTTAGATTAAAATACTTATACATTTATATATAAGTAATTATCATTTAAAAATTCTAAGAATATATATATATATTAAAAGAGAATAATTTTATTTTAAAATTGTATTCTAAAATTTAAATATGAAAAAAAATATTTATCGGTAAATAAAATTTTATTAAAAAATATTAATTGGATGAAGATTTTCATAAAAGTGAAATTTAAAAAATATTTTTTACATAATGAGGTTGAAAAAAGGCATACAACCTTAGCAAGAATGATGTTTTGCAAAATATATAACCCATGTGCCTTTAGGTTCATTAGATTTCGCGAGTGGCATAGCTATCGAGATTAATGCGATCAATTATGTCTCTTAGAGAAATTAATTAGGTACCTTTCATTTTGTTCTTGGGTTCTTCCTATTTGTAGTCCATTTATGGCACGCAGGAAGGGCTTGTGCGATTGCGGCAGGATTTGAGAATCTGTTTTTTCCATGACTCCTCTTAACTAGTTAAGAAAAGAGATCTAGTAGTTGAAGTAAGAATCAATTTGATTTTACCATGCATATTGATTAGATAGATCGAGTCATACTTAGAGAGTTTGGCTTTTTCCTTTCCTTTCAACTCATTTAGATTTAGATCTAGTCGATTTTCTTTTGGCTTGGTCGTCTCATCTATCCTATCTAGTCAAGCCATTCACCTTTATGATGTTGAACATAAATGGATTCATCGAGAAAAAGGATAAAGGGATTCGAACCCTCGATGGTTCGTAAAGAACTATATTGGTTTTCAAGATTGGAGCTATCAACCACTTAGCCATCTCTTCGAAAGGTAATTTTTATTTTACTAATTTATTTTTGTTCCGTCGAATAGAACACGGCCGTAGGAGTTGATATCGTCGTTGTACTATAGAAAGATATTGGGTGTGAGTCGATGAGTCTATCTATATATTCTAGATAGATGTAGGATCTAGAATAACCATTTGTGAAATAAAAAAGGACTCTCAACTCTATGTTCGAATAAAGTGGGAAAGGGGTGGAAATAAGTCATATAGAATCAATGGATTAATGGTATAATCCCCCCATATTCCTTTTTTTTTTTTTTTTTTTGGGCTTGATAGAGGGATTAAATGAGATAGTTCTTTTGTTGGTAGCTTGGAGGATTAGAAACATGACTATTGCTTTCCAATTGGCTATTTTTGCATTAATTGCTACTTTGTCAATCTTACTAATTAGTGTTTTTTCTTCTCTTGACGATTGGGCAAGCAACAAAAATATTGTATTTTTTGATACATCGTTATGGATTGGATTAGTCTTTTTGGTAGGTATTTTTAATTCTCTCATCTCTTGAATCCGGATACAAAAATGGAAAAGACCCCTACCCGAACTCTTTAGAGTTGCAAGACACATTTAAATTCAAAAAAAAAAAAAAAAAAAAAAAATATATATATATATATATATATATATATATATATATATATATATATAGGGAGGGGTCAAACTTTCTTATAATTTGTATGTAATTTGTAAATGAAAGTAAATGTAAAATTAAGTGTAATTTGATAAAAAAATTATATTATTAGAAAATCATTCTAAATTCTAATTTAGAATAATAAATTATAAGAAATTCTAAATGAAATTTTTAATAAATTCTAAATGAATATAAATTTTCATTATATTAAAATGGAATAAAAAATGAAATGTATTATATAATTCTATTAATTAAATAGAATATGAATATAATAGGAATAAGTAGTATAATCTAAAATATATGTTAATTTTAAAATATAAAAATGATATTATATATATTTTACTTTTGTCATGTTGCGTGAAAAACACAAATAAATAACGATTGATATTTTATAAGTTTTGTTTAAAAATTCTTAACTAAACAAAAAAACCAAAAAAAAAAAAAAAGAAAAAAGAAAAAAGAAAAGGAGAAAGCCCACATGACTAGGCTTAGAGGATTAGGTCCGCGCGCCGAGGCTTAGAGCACCATGCTCGGGCACTTCCTCTTCATTTTCGATGACCTTTGCATTTTTTGGCGATTAATTTCGTTGGAAAAGTTGCGGAAAAATCGGGTTCTATTATTTGAAACCTCTTAAAATCAAATTCAGCTTTGAGTTTGTCCAAAAACAACTCAAAATAACTAAAATTACATAAAAAAAAAACTTATTTAGAACTTTAAAATTCATTTTAATTCACATAAAACACATACAAATTGAAATCAAAATAAAAAAAAAAGTTCAAAATATTAGATTTCCGGTCTATTTCTTTTTAGCATTTCATGGGCTTTCCACCATTACAAAAGAATTTTATTTTTCGCAGCAAACAAAGTGATGATAAAATTGACTATTAAGTTGTTCAAAATAAGCCTAGTTAGTTGTCTCTCTCTCTCTCTCTCTCTTCTTTCTCTCTTTTCTTAAGATGTAAGGACCAAAATGAATGAAAAATAAATTCGAATCGAAAAAAAATTGTTAAAAAAGGACAAATGTGAACATTTTAGGTGCAAATAGTGAATAGTGATTTTGAGAGAGAGTGAACAAGTACATAAATAGTGAAAATAGAAAGAGGAAACAATGTGTGCATAGTATTTTTAGATTTTCTTTAAGTATATTTAGTAATAATTTTGTTTCTTAAATCTAGTAACAAATAGCTTATCCGTCCGTTGTCATTTTGTGGTTCACTAAAGTTGCTCTCATTCATGCCTCCTTCCTTTTTATTATATCTATCTACCTCAAAATAATATTTAGGTAATCAAGTAGGACAACCGATTCAAAATAGTTTTTTTTTCCTTATTAAAAGAAATAAAAGAAAAACGAGATAATATGTTAATGCATAATGGCGTTTATAGCATAGTATTACATGATATGTGTCATGCCTACTAGACTTTAGGGGTGAGCATTATTCGGTTAAAACCAAAAAATCAAACCGAGCCGAATTGAATTAGCAATTTCAATTTGGTTTTGTTCAAAATTTTTTTTAAAAAAACCGAAATCGAAAATTGAAATTATTTCGGTTCGATTTAATTTTTTTTAAAATTCGATTTCTATTGAAATTGAATTTTTTTAATTGTTAAACAACCTTTACTCGCCTATTCCCTTAGTGGCTTAGTCCCTTAGATAGTTAGACCCTCCTCACCACTCACCAAACAAGCAGACACCACCGAAAACAAAAACCCTCTCGTTTGTCACACACGACTATATCCACAATCGTCTAGCTCTTCGCCCACCACTTAGTCTAGCTCATCGGAAACAATCACACCCACTTAAGCCACCTCTCCATTGTTCTTCTTCCTCTTCCGGACTTTAGTCCTCCTTAACCCTCATATCTTCCTACGAACACCCTAATCCTCGTCATCCTTGTGATTTCTTCGATCTTCATCAACTTTTCAACTCTTTTTCCTTTTCCTCCACCCATAGCCAGCTATTGAGACATTTGGATTGTACGATGACTCAATCGCATTGTTCACTATTCATAAGATTCGAAGTTTCTAGACATTTGGTTGATGAACGAGGGATGTTGGATAAAACAAGTTCACTCTTAGACCTCTTTTAAGCATTGAAAAAGCAATCGGGTGTTGAAAGAGTGGTGAAGTTTTTCTTGAATCCCGTACTAAAAGACTAATGTCGTGCATCCTTATCCACCAATAAATCAAGGAT